GGTTCAGGTTCAAAGATCTGCAAAATTTAAAGTTCAGTTCAGGTTCAGTTGAACTTGAACCTGAACCTAAATTGAACTGAACTGAACTTTGGAATACTAGATAAATAGACTAATAATAATTTTTAATAATTATTTAAAGTGAGTAGATAGATGAGTTAATTAAATATTAAAATTAGTTATTATATAACTTAAAATATAGTTAAACCTCTCTATAGTCACTTCTCTATATTTACAAAATTAATATAATTATAATTTATTTTATTAATTATTTGTAACTATATAGAAAATATCTTTATAGTCAAACCTCTCTATAGTCACCTCTTTTATAGTTACAAAATTAATATAATTACAAATTTATTTTTACTAATTCTTTAAACTATATAGAAAATACCTCTATATTAGTTATATCTCTTTATAATTACAAGTTTTTGTATCCCAAAAAATAACTATAGAGAGGTTTGACTATATATTAATTATATCTCTTTATAACCACAAGTTTTTGTATCCCAAAGGTGTAACTATAGAGAAGTTTGACTATATTTTTAAAATTTTTATTAAATTTTTAGTATAAACAAAAAGAGTATAAAGAAAATTATTTTTTATTAAAGAGAAATTAGCTTTAATAATTTGTAATTATAAAGAAGTTTATTATTAATAAATTAATTCAAAGTTAATAAATGATTTGTAAATATAATGAGGCTGTTTTAATATAGTATTTTTAGTTAGTTTTATAAAATTAGATGTTTATATAGAGGATATAAGGAATTCCTAATTATTATTAAACAAACCTAAAGATTTGTTATAAACAGAAATTAAAACTAAATTTGTTTTTTGTCAAAAAAAAATTAAAATAACCAGACTAACAAAAGTAAAAAAAACTAACAAAAGATAACTAACAAAATGTAACAAAACTAGCAAAAGGTAATAAAGCTAATAAAAGATAAAAATAATAAATAAAATTAAAAATATATTTATTTATAATAAATTAAAGGAATATATAAATTTATATTTATATTTTTAAAATATAAAATAATTTATTTAATTTTATTTAATACTTATATATTAAATTAATTATTAATTTTTATTATATTCAACTATCGTTATTGTATTAGCATTTAATATTTGTTTTAATTTATTTTATACTAATTAAAAATTATTATAATATCACATTCAAACTATAGCATAGTTGTTAATCAGGGATTATACAATTATACAGTTTTTGATCAAACATTATAATTCTGTATTTAAAATATAGAATCACTTTTAATTAAGAATTATACAAAAACAATAGATTTGCATTTAAACAATTGCTTCGCATCCATTACATCTTAACAATAGTAAATTTTTAATTAAAGATTATTTCAAAATAATAACTTTACATCCAAACAATAATATAGTATTAAGACTTTATCTTTTACCAGAGGCTTTATTCTTTATAGAAGGCTTTAACTTTTATCATCTATAAAAAACGTTTTATAGAAGTTTCATAGGTTTCGCAGATTTCGCAGGTTTCGTCAGAGGTTATGTCATTTGAGGTAGTAGATTTCGTCTTTTGTCATTTTGCAAAAGGGTTTTGTCTAACAACACTAGATGTGACTATAGAATTATAGAAATTAACGAGCGATACTTGTAATATGGATTAGATATGACTACTCAGAATTATAACCCTTTGAACACCTCAAGCACCTTGTTACGCTATCAAAGAATTTCCAATGTAAATTCAGAACCAAATAATATCGCTAAATATGGAATTATTAAAATTCGACCATTTACATAATCAACTTTAACAAATAATTCCATCGAATTTATAATCGAACACTTTTCCGATTGTTTAATGGAGCAAAACAAAATAATAATGGTAACACGAATCAATCACCAACAAAACCGAATATGGAGAGCAACATTTAGCCCTGATGGTTAACGGGTGATACATACATGATAAAAGCTTGTGGTGGGTACTGATGAAGGACTTCAAGACATCTCGTAGCTCATCTCGCTATTCTCCCTCTTTATTAAGGTCTCGTAAATACATGATTTCGGATGAACATTTGCGCATTTACATTCGTACTAACCGAACTTGAATGCTCTTCATACTAAAATAAATCACTACATATGATTACGTATCGTCTACTAAATACAGAAATACCGGACCATAACAAACCTAACACTAAGTCAAAAATTTGAATATTATAATTACATCATTTTCTGCGTTCAGGAATTTTGTAACACTAACGTCACCATATTCCAAATACGTATACGGTAAAATGAACTGTGTTGCAAAATTGATAAACTAAACTCTGAAAAAAATCCTTTTATTTCATATTATGGATCCAGCTTCGATACTAAACAACGAATTTATTGCTGATTATTCAAAATTATTTGACGAACGTGATAACACTGCCGATGTTGAAATCATAATATCAGGCACTGAAAAGAAAATTTTAGCACACTCTTTAGTTCTTAGCATTAGATCAGATTACTTCAAACAAAGCCTTTCTGATAAATGGGCGAAAATGAATAACGATGGAAAGTTTACATTGACACTTTCTGATATTGAATATGATACCATGATTATTTTATTGAAGTATCTTTATTACGCAGATGCAAATATTTTTGATCATGACGATTTCTACGCTCTTTCAAAAGTCCTAATCGCATCTGATAAACTCAACATGGTGACTTTTTCTGATCTCACTCAAAAAACCATTTCTAAAAAAATATTGATTTTTATCGATAAAAATTTATTCGATCTCTTCAAGTTCATAATGGATTACCAAATGTTTACATTTATAGACGAAGCATTCATGTGTGAAATTGCAAAAAACCCAGATCTTTTATTTTCATCTAAAGATTTCATTAAATTGGATGAAAAAATGTTGCAAAAAATCATATTGTGCAATGCTCTGAGGATTTCAGAATTCAAAATTTGCGAATATCTAATCGAATGGAGCAATGTGGAAAATAACGAAACTAAATTTAATTCACTGTTTAATTTAATTCGTTTCCACCAAATGAAAAAAGAGGATTTCTTTTATTTTTGGACAAATTATAGAAATAAAATTACGATTTCGGATAATTTGTTAAATGATATAATTGGATTTTTCATGTGTAATAATCCACAAAATATTAAACAATCGCCATTTAGATTAGGAAATTATCAAAGATCCGAAATCATCAAATATCCCGAAGAATTCTTGGAAATTTCTTCCTGGATCGATAATGACAAAGGAAAGAGTTCATTTAGATTTGATCTTATATTTGACAATAGTTTTTTTGGTGATAAGTTTAACACAAATTCATTCCATAAGATATGCGATGGGACGTTTTCAACTATTACTTTAGTTGTTTTAGACAAATGTATTGTTGGCGGATATAATCCTATTGGTTGGTCTAATGATAACAAGTGGCAGAAATGTAAATCTAGTTTTATATTTGCATATAATCATAATAATAATGCTACGATATCCGGTATTACAGAAAAAGAAAGGGCAATTGGATGTTTTAAAAATCGCGGACCTTGCTTTGGCGAAGGTTCTGATCTTTGTATTCGACATGATTCGAACAAAATCGAATTAAACCCCAAATCATATCCAAAATTGTTTGATTTGAATGGAAACTATTTTTTCCGTCGCATGGAAATCTTTAGAGTAAACAGAATATACGACCTATAAATACATATTTTAAGAGTTAAATATTTTTTTCATTTATAATTATTTATATGCATAAAATAAGCATTACAAGTCTTTTTTTGTTGTACCTCTTTATTAAAAACATATGGGATTTTATAGATAAAAATATATAAGATTACAATCATATGGTATATCACGATTAATCAATGATATTTCATGTAAAGATAGTCAACTTTTTAATTTGATTGAAAATTTCAAGGTTGCAGTTGCGTAAAAGAGGAACCGAGTAGCCTATACATGCTCCTTTCTCCATGCTTAAGCGGTTCGATGCGACAAGGCATATCTGGATAACAATCATTATTGTCACCACATAATCACAACAATACTCGGCCGAGGAATAAAATGAACGCGAATAATACCAAGTGAAGTTTATCCATAGATACATCTAATCAACTTTTCTTTCTGATTTCGCCTTCATGGATGATCTCATCTGGCTCAATCTTTTCACCTGGTGCATAATAATGATGTGGAAAATATTGAACATTCAAAAGCCGCCTAAACACAATTTTACTATCATAGTATAGGATTGCTAAGGTAGCATATCTCCTTGAAAATGAACTCGGAACGCAAACAAATAAACGAAATCATTACCAGGTTACTGGGGATATTTAAACTGAACTAGTTCTAGTAGTTTGATATATTTAAACTTATATTTGATTTTCAAAGTAGTTAAACGGTTTAACATCCCTACGTGTTACAAACTGAGTAGAGGTGCAGGCGGAATTGTTCCAATGAACCGTACGACGCACAGCAAGTTACGGTTACAGTTGCGGCAAAACCGCATGAATCCCAATCGCCGAATGTATTCCAATTGTCGTATGAATGCCAAGTGTCGTATGGGTCCCAAGTGCCGTATGAATCCCAAGTGCCATATGAATTCAAATTACCATAACGATAAATTAAAATTTTGATATCTATCGCTATGGCAGTATTTGTATTTATTGCGGTTTACAGATCAAAAAAAAATCAATCGATTATTAACGATTAGTGATTTCCGATTTCTGATTTTTTTTTTATAAAAGACGTAATAAACTCTAATTTTAACTTATTAATATTATTAATAAGTTAAAATTAGAACTTATTACATCTTTTATAAAAATTTACATAATATTAAAGTTTAATCTAAAGTTTATTGCGGTTTGCAAAATTATGTGAAATTTGAAGATCATTAAAATTATGCGAAATTTGAATATTTTATGGAAATAAAAGTTGCATACTCATCATTTTGTAATATATTTGCAGAAATAGCACTAATAATCGCCAAACCTGTTGCTAATGTTATCGTTGGAGAAGTTTTAATAATATAATCTTATAATTGTCATTTGTAACAGTAATTTTAATTAATTTTTAATAATAAAGGAAGCTGCTCAGATTGAAGAACTATAACCTCATTTACAAAAGTAGAACGTGGACTAGATAAATGCTTTTTGTTCCACCAATTTTATCATTCATTCATTATTCTCTCCATATAAAGTTTATCTCACACTATGATCGGCCAATAATATTTATGACAATAAACTGTTGCCTTTGTCTATAAGCTGTTATTTAAAAAAAAAATTTAAATAGGTTGCCACTAAAATTTGAATGGAATCCACTTAATCAACATAGAGAAATTTTTGTTAAACATTGTAAATCAATTGTTGAAGAACGTGTTTGTCAAAGAAAAAAGCTTGGTGAAAAATATATTCAAAAAGTCTATTACCTCTTTTAAATTTTAACTTATTTTAGATGATATTGTCTAATGTGTATTTCTTTAATTACGTAATAGCGTGATTTGCTCGATTTCTTTATAAGTGAACTACAGTACATCATAAAACAGATGTCGTGGTTGATGAATATATGAATGATTTATTTGCATACATATATAATATAGTTTTTGCTTCAATTAGTACAACATCCCGATTTCTTGCAGTTGCCCTTTTTTGATAATTTATTTTATTCTACTCTATATGATTTTTTTTTATTTAATTAATAGATTTTTAACCTTGAAAATTAATTTAATAAAATTAGATTATGGTGGAAGACCCGAATTATGGGATGAAATCTATGAAGAACAATTAAAGATTCATAATGAATCTAATGGCATTTTAAGCATTGAACATGTTCGTAAAATGGTCAAATTGAACAGTTTTCTAAGAGAATCTTTTAGACATTCTACAGATATAGGTAATTATACTTGACCATTTGAATTTTTATAATTAAAAACTTTTATATATTCAAAATAAAATATTTTTTCTTTTGCTATATCGAACTCTTTTCATTTATAATTAGCTGGATTAGGTCACGTTATTACTGGTGACTTATTTACATTTAGTAATGGAACCACTGTATCCAAAGGTATATTTTTTTAAATTCATAAATTATTTTAATTATGTATATATTAATTTTGCTTTTTAACAACTATAAAGGTCGTGATGTTCATATCTATGCAAAAGATACGAACTTCAGTGATAAAATCTATGGAGAAACAGTGAATGAAATTCAACCGAAAAGGCATATAACTTCACATCCTAATGGAAAATTGTTCGTTTAGCAGCTACAAAAGTTGATTGATCTATTTTAATATTTGCTGGTGGTAAACATGCATGCTCTGGTAGATTTTTTGCTGTTAATGAAATTAAAATGGGTTTACACAAATTGATTTTAAAATCGACAAAACAACGTTGTTGGCGCCCTTTAATACTAAAGGGCTATTGTTGGTAACGAATCACGTTTTTTT